TCGGACGCCCGCTCTGACTTACGATGGTAATAATCATAATGAGGCACTTTATTGCCATCGTATACCATGCGACGACAAGCCATTGTTATTTGGCGCTGTCGTTGCGCGACGAGCAACCGAGCGAAAGATAAGATGATTCTCATTCGAAAGTTCCGAGTGGTGCGAGAAGCACCCAATTAGTCCGCAGTGGTCCAAATTGTGTCAAGTTTGCGGAATTATGTTTTATTTCCTGTTACCATGTTTAATAATTATTCTCACTCGCGAAAATGAAACAACACTAGTTTCCGTGGGGACAAGTCAGCTTTGATCATTCGCGATGATCGAAAACCTCGTGGGCTTAACATCATCCTCTCCTCGTGTGTTCGTGGGGCTTGAAATCACTTGTCCCTAGCTTCGTGAAGATTCACCATAAGGGCCTATTCACAAAGCATCCAGGCGATTCTCCAAAGTTCCTCGGGTAAATTCTGGGCGATTACTGAAAGGACATATTCTATTAAACTATTTGTCAAAATGGATTGTTAGATTTATAATCACGATAGTAGCGTGAACGCGTGGCGTGTTCCAACAAGTTCCATCTACACTGGCGTTGATCGAGTTCGTTCTTGCATATAGATTCAACAGGGTTTCTTTATCGCAGTCGCCACCTATCGATTCTGTTGCAGGGGCTTCGGGTTACACCGTCCCGATGCATTGTCGTGGCTTTATCGAGGAAGAATAATGCAGTGGTCGATGCTACGAGCATAAACAAAAGAAGGCGAAGCACGCAAAAGCTAAATACGCGTACGTGTTATCGTTTGTTGCCATTGATACATCAACTATACTCGTATGCAATCTACGCGGTTGGAAACACTGGTCAGCGCTGTATCGAATTTCCTTTACACGGCGTTTCCATAGTAAAGTTACACGATGGCAGTGTTCGAAATCCCATTAGGCTGGACGGTGGGCAGATAAGGAGCCTAAACGCCTAGCACCACTCACGAGGATCTCCCAAGTGTTTTCAGGTCCTCCGCGTAGGGGGATCCCAGCGTTTATGATCGAACTCACGCAGGAGACGCGCCGTGTCTTCACGGATTCATAAATTCGTGGACTGTCGGCAGCACCTGAGCTAGAAGTCTCTCCGTGGTCTTGTCGCGCGTTGGGAGATGAGAACGGTGCCTTAAGGCTCGCAACCTCTCCTTGAGACGAGATCTCTCTCCTCTCTCTCTCTTTGGTTTCCCACGAGAACCACCGCCGCCGCCGCCTTCTGGAATGTCGCTCTCCCCTTCTCCTTCTGTTCTGCTCCTTCACCATCTCCTCCTCCACCTTCTCCGATACGAGCCACCACCTCCTCTTACGTTGCTCCGACGTTCCTCCTCGTGCTGACGGTGTCTCCTCTCCTCTTCTATCGCGTCGCTGCAACCCCAGCTTTTGCCCTCCGTCCTTATCCTACCTTCTTCCATCGTCTCTACCTCGCTCTCCCTCTCGATTCCCTTCAGAGATTTAACGGGGTGCATCGTGGTACACGCTATATCTGCCGATGCGACTCGTGATTAGGAGTGTATATGGAAAAAGGAGGACCCGCGAAGTTAAGGCTCGGGGTTTAAAATATTGGCGCGTTGATCCTGCGCTAAGCATTGTTGCTCCTCCCGCGACTCTTTTTGGTTTTAGTCTGGTCCTGGCCCTGGGAATTGCCAGGCCGAAATCTCGTTGCGATGCTCGTTTACATTCGATGGTACACTTTGTCGTTTGGCACATGACATCCTAACCCCCGGTTTGTGACCTAAATTCGGAATAAACGAAGTAGGCATGAAATTAGGAAGGACTTGAGTTGAAGTTGTGCTGTTGCCCTTCCTCCTCCATACTTACATGGAAGGTACCAATCGTTCTCTGTTAGAACCATCTCATTTTGATAAAGTTTCCTCCGTAACGAGTGCATAAGTTTTCTATCCTTTTTTTCATTTGGATATGCAATTTAAAAAAAGAACCAAGTTCTTTTTTAAGAAATGGCTGTGCGCCAGTGGTGAACAGCCTGAAATTTATTTATACTTAGCGTTCCTCACATGTTGCACCTGGTCCGTTAAGAAACTCCCCTTGTTAGTGTAGCATGCAAAATTATGACCGTCAGTCGAACAGCTACACGATACACCGGCTATACATTACAGCAAACTGGACTTAGATTTGTTTCTATCCTAGAATGCAAAACGTGGGTGTTTTATACCCATGGAACTGTTGGAATCCTTTTCTTCATTTCCTGCAAAATTATTTTTGTTTTCTTCCACGTCCTTGTTGATTATATTACACCCGCAGCGTATGTCTTGAATTCACTATATATCAGTTTTTAAAAAATATTTTCCTATTTTAATTTCTCATCGTGTCGATACACTTGCACGTATCGTTTCACAATCACTTTTCTTCAAACGCGTTTACTTATTTCATTTCAGCATAGTCAAAACTCTTCGTCAGAATCGATGTTAGATATCATTTATCTTTTCATTCCTCTCACGTCAGATTTATTGATCCATAAACAAGAAACTACGGGGGAATTACAAGGAGAGTTAAACGTTGAGTGAGACACGCACGATGGTTTACGACCGTGAATTCTTTATAGCTCGCTGATTACATCACTTTACATGACAAAAACTCCTTAGTCGATCCTGACATAATTTTGTCACTGTGCTGTCATTGTTGATGCCCGTTCCGCTACCGTGGAGCTAATATATCTTTTAACAGGTTCCAAGACCAGTGGACCATCCACGTCCCACAGTACTCACAGATACAGGTGATTACGTTGCAACTATCGAGTTAATGTCTCGGAACCTGAACAAACATTTCACGTCATGTTAATTGTCCTATGTTCCTTCGAGTGTCATCTTTCATCGACATGCTTTGTAAGGCTTATCCACTAGATCTTATCAAGTAAATACCTTACATATGGCGCAATGAATCGTCGATTTAATAGTCGCCAATTACTCAACAATTTATCAGTACGTGATTAAATTGGGCAGATCGATCAGGAGATTAATTAGAGTCACGTCCAAGGCGATACCTGATGGCTAAGCTTACCGATAAATTCAAGATTTGAGTCCAAACGTGACAATATACATCTATCGATACATTTAATTGTTTAATCGTTGAACGACAGTCATGGACTACAGGACGAAGACGAAGGTATAAAAATTGAGCGCTTTGAAACAATTTCACGCAATCAACCGCTACAATGCGGCCACTTGACCTGTTCCTACGCTTCCATCCGGAACCTCCGATTCTGCATGGCATCGAAAGTGTTAAATCCTCCTTTGATTAACTTCCCCGCGAATTACCACCATGAACAATGCTTTATTTTCTGCTCCGTCGACCATCACATCTGCGGAGGATGTTTTTCCCTCGCTGGGCATTCCTGTTTCGCTTCGTAATTTCAATCATATCGAATTCGACGACGGCGAAACAATCGGCAATCCAGCGAATTATTCATCTTTCGTATGTACAACATCGAGGCTGGATCTAATTGGTGTTTAGGTTGCGGTAGGAAAATATTGTTCCAAGCAGCTCCTGGCGAATGCCCCATTGTGTTCCAAGACGTTCTCGAAGTCGAGCTCTCTCGGCCTCTGGTTACAGGTCTTGTTAATAATGACGGTGCTTTACATTTTGCTACCCATGTTAGCTACCCATGACTGTAATAAGATGGTCGCTCGAGCGTGATTGCGCGACACTGTGCGTCGATCACGTGCACAACGGGTGACGCGGTTCAAAATTCGCGCTGAAACGAAACGTTGCGAAACGTTCGTTGAAATTTTTGTTAAATTGCGAGCTAGCTTCTCACGGTATGATTGTAATTAATATTCGATCGCGGGCTATTCTTTGGGCGATCGACTAAATCTAAATTATGATAGATTACTGTGTCTTTAGTATTGTTTCTTAAAATATACTTAATGTAACTGAGTGGTCCATCATAAGTGCCTGGTCTCTAATACTAATACTTGAAAAGTTCTTCTTCCTTTTTAAGTACACGTTCTTATTACACGATTGTATAAAGATAAGAGCTTGGTTCAGCTGAAGTATTGTTTCTTTAAACTAACCTCAACTAGATCGATCATCCCTTGCTATGCCAGAGATTGTTTTCGATAATAGTTCACTATACTATTACCACGAACCCTGGGTACAATTACACAATCGCGAAGCGCTTTCGAATCTCTTGGAACATTTGGAATTGCATTATGAAAAAACGCATGTACCGTTTACCTAAAAGTGTGTCACCCGATGTGTGGTGTGTTGTTGCCCAAGTCAGCCCAGACGTAACACGAGACTGACCGTACAAGACTGGCACTTATGATGGTGACCGATATACACCATATCTACCAATACCGATGAGAAAACGCCAACACCATCCTCGCTCCCATCACTAATCAGGCTTACCAAGTTTGAGCTTGAAAGGGGCGAGAATATATAGACTAGCGCCTTCTTCTTTCTTTTCTTACCTTTCCTTCCAGCTGGTTTTCGATTCCAAGGGGTCAAACTCCTAATGATACGACTAATGACCGGTGACACCACGAGCTAACAGTGCCAACGACACTGATGGAAACGTAACTGTTTCAGTACCGATTGCTTACATCCCGGCGTTCGATCTTCTAGCTTCCAATGTCTGTTAATACCTTTGACTTGTTTGATGTTTGCTTCTATCTTGACTACTGCTGTTTGTCAATAGCAAATCAATGGATGTGTTTAAAAATGTAAATTACAAGCAATTACAAACGCATGAATGAGAACCACTGAAAATGTTTTACCATTTGGGGATAATATAGCAGGAATCTTCATTCGGACTTGGTAGGTAAGGTAGAGGTGTCCTGGAAAATGTTATCCTTAAATGATAAAGGAGAATTCGTGCGTATCAACCGTTGATATAAAAATAATTCATACATAAACTTGACCAATGATGAAGACAGACACTCTGACGAACTTTCTAAACCTTGATACTTCCGTATTACATTCATCCATCCGAGCGGCACGCAATAAATCAGGATACCTGTGTATATAAGATTTATATTTGAACGTGACGTGCCTACGCGGTTACAATGAATTTCACTATCGATATATTTAATCGACAAATTTATAAAACTTAAATACGACAATTTTTGTTCGTACAAAGAAGTATACATGATGGGACGCGTTTTGTGATGATTAGCAATTAAGTTAAAAAAATCGCGACGATATTCCAATGCGGAGGGTCGTTTCTGTAAAAATTGCGCTGCTCTATGTCTTCTTTTTAGCTTTTTTCGTGGTTTTCGCGGCTTTTGCGGGCGAGGATTTCTTCTTCGTTGCCTTCTCCGCCTTCTTCGCGTATTTGTCGATCAGGGAATCGAAGAACTTGTCGGACTGACTCGCTCGTGCTTGATTGCGGCTCTGTATCGCCAGTGCTAGATTGTTGGCAGCTGCGTTTTCCTCGTTTTCGATTTTTAGCATCTTTTCAAGACGTTCGGCTTCTTGTGCTTCTTTGGCCCACTGCAACAAGAAGCCACGGCTTAAATACCCAACCTCCAAAATCCTCTCAACTTAGCAAACCGTCAATTTACATAAATGCAACCATTTTTAGAATAATTTTTTCGAAAACCATCCGTTACAGAGGACTAAATTTCAAATATAAAAATTTCTGAATAAACATATGGATGGGATCATTTTCTTTTATTGCATGAAAAATTGTTGCATTCGTGATTTCTGTTGCTATGTATAAGGGCTGCAAAAACTTCAGCAGACGATTTTCCATTAGATATCCTAGCACGACACTCGACCTACATGATGGAGGAATTCGATCATTAGCCAGGAGATAACGTGAAGAGATCGATAGATCAGACGTTGAACGACTGCAGCTCACAAGCCGTCCTTATTTAATGTAATTAATTACCAGCACTTCGTGACACGAGTAACTCTATTTTCGATGCTAGCCATGCGTCGATCCTCCAGATTATCAGACCCTGCTAACTCGCTGCCCGTGGGTTAAGAGGAGTTAATTTTAACGAGGGGTCGCGTATTCCATAGACGTTCGACAACGCCTTGTGTTTGTTCGACGCTTTCTAGACGTATTGTTTAAACTAACGAAGGCAGCGTGCCAGCAATATAATTTTGCAATCTAAGATGAAACGCGATAAAGGTTTGGCCCCCCAATGATTCAACGGATTCTATTTCCATACCCGTAAAAATCATTCGTTCGAGACGCGAACTGCAGATACACGTCTGCCAACGATGAGCTAATGATTATTTGAATGACTTAGAATGTAGAATTTAGATGGAGATCGCCAACGACTAATAATTTAGAGAATTTAGACAATTTTTACGCGCGAGAAGGTTAATTAAAATTCATAAATGATCGAGATATACCAAAGGAAAATAAATTCGAAATGAAATATGATGCATACAGCTTAGAAACTTGTTTAGGAAAATTGTCACGAATTATTTTAGATGAGGAACGGATGCTATTGAAAATGTTCGTGGAATTGTTTACGCGTGCTGAGGTCATGCTTCGCGAGAAACAGATTTCGTGGTTCACGCTTGCCGATGATCCATATTCCTAGTGACCTACTCCATAATTCGGCGCTGAGGAAATTCCGTTATTTATAATTTTTGGCAAGTACGTTTAAGAGGTATCCTAATGTTAGGCCGAATTGCACAACGCCTCGCGAAATACTGAAGTTATTGGAATCACGTTCGACCGAGACACGATGACAGAAAGCCAAGCACAGCTTCGCTAAGTCGAAGTATCGATACTCCGCTTCGAACAGGGATGAGCCAAATTCTATTTGAATAATGAATGACGAATCTGAAATACAGTTGCACCCAAAATACAACACTCTATGACGAATTAATCAAAACAGAACTTGTATCATCGAGAACCCACGAAATTAATTTTTATTTTAAAAAAGAAGCGATCCTATAGGTAACAGATTTTTCTATATTTACTGTTTCACAAGAATAAAGATTCCTGATAGTGATGCACATATTTGTTATTATAAATATTCCATAAATGTTGCATTTTAGATGTTTCGATCCTTATACTTATCTTTGTTCGTTCGAAACTTTAATCTAGATGAGAACTACGCTATTTATTTATCTTGAAATTTAAACGCGTCAGATGTCAAAATCGTCCAGCTCGAGAGGAAATTATTCTCGTTGTGTCGACATCACTGTTATTTTCAAAGAAACATGCAAAACAATATATCTCGTTAAATAAATACGCGGTGCGCTTAACGATGCTCGAGGGACGTTATGTCGCGCTGGGTACTCGTGAATCAACGGAGTCCAAGTCTTTGATCTATAAATACGAATTATAATGTTTGGTGTACTCTAAATGTTGTGCATTCATAGTGGATGTTATATAATAAACAATACAATAACATGCATCTCTATTATTCAAGAAAATCGGGTAACAATGATCATATACAGAAATCTCTTTCAACTGAAGAAACGATTATTATTACTACCCATTCGTCGATCTATTTTAATAGATATTCCAGTAATCTATTTTATAATTATAATTTTACAATAATCTGTTTTAACAATTGCATTTCGGGTTAATAATCTTTCATTGCTGAGGAAACCCATAAGTCGATCCTCTAGTTGGTCTACGAATAACAAAAGGACCACGATTAAATTTGATGCAACGATTTCGTAAAGTAATCATAAAGTGTATAAACTTACGAAATACATCCGAGCCCTTTCATAGAGATTTCCTAAGTCAACCCCGAATTATCGAACAAAATTACATTTTCCTTTGAACGAGCTAAAGCTTGCGTCGATGGCCATCCTACGATGATTTCATTCGTCGACCATTATTCGACCAAACAATTGCCCATCTCTGGAACGAACCGCGATGTAGTATGACCGCGGGGCTCAATTCTCGCGAAATTCCGCGGCGATGACACGGTACAAAGGGAATTCGTTGCGCAACGGCTACCTCGAACCCAATGGACCGTTTCAATTATTTCGTAATTCGGATGATTTCCGGAGCGTCAGGCTCGACGCCAGATGTGTCGCTAGGTCTGGTCACCGGGAGACCAAGTAATTCAAGGTTGCGGAAGCGCATCGCTCCGTCGTCGATCTTATAAGCGGTCGCACGTGTGTGCATACCATTCGAACACAGTGGATACTTTGGCACGGATCTGATTCGCAAATAGCCCCTTATAGAATACAAAGTACTTGACGTCACAAAGGGAGGTGGAAGAGTCGTAAGGGTAATATAAATACGACGGAATTAGACTCGCAATATGTTCCTAACAAGGGCGGAACGCGATCTGTCTGGACCTTTGTTTTCCAGGAATTTTGTTGGCACGAGCGATTGGCAACTTTGTGGAGCCAGGTGTACTGTTTTGTAAAGTTGTACAAATTTGGACACTCGTACGCTTTACAAATTTACAGAGGCACGAAGAAAATAGATACCAGTATCAGTAGTTCTATACTAGGCATTGTATAATGATATTCGAATAGTAATATCTAGACTGCGGATATTTATGCATGTATAACAAGTATAAATACATAAAAATATACAAGGATATGCACGAATTCGTAAATGCATTATAAAGTATAAAATAAAAAATAAAATGTCTAAATAAATAAAGTGTATTAACATATAAAAGACAAAACATACTTTGATTTAAGTATCTGTCCTTCATCTGTACATATAAAGATATGAATTTGCGTAAACATCTGAAGTCTAGTAATATCCTTGCAGTAACCTTCGAGTACTATAACTCAACTAGTGATACTCGGATATTGGTATTCGAGGAATACCACGAAAATAGCGATACCTAAACACTCGAATGGTATCCACGGCATTCGGACATTTATAAAGTACTACAGTAGCTCCAACGTCGAGATCCGCGCATGAACAGCCGACCACAATGGTCCCCTTTCAATAGATGCACTTCGAGACTTCGGCAAGGTCGGTCGAATTCCTGTCAGCTATTTACAGTTGGGGTATGGGTGCCTCTCCATCAGTTAGCGTGCGCGAAACGATGCACCTGTTGCGGCCGGTAATGCACACAGGAAGCCTCGCGAACTTGACATCAGACGACGACAGCCATTACGCGATCCAACGCATGCCAATCGTCCAGGGATGCTGACAAAACGCACCGTGTATCGCAGAAACCAGGGTATCTCGATCAGATATGCGTTGGTCAAGGTCGTTACATAACACCCAGCATTAGATTGAACGACATTAGTAATTATTTCATTACCACACCGGATACATCGCGGCCCTCGTTGCTTGTTACTTTCAATTGATATTCAGCATCGCGCTTGCCTCACAAATCCTTATTCGGCGATCCTCGCCTTCGCAAACAATGTTGCACAACGCTGCCGCATTCTTATCTCCGATCACGGACTTGACTCCTTCGGACTTGGTACACATTTTAATGCAAGTGGCGAACTAGAGTATTGTTTTGACGTATCACTAAATGAGCGATCCTTTTCAAACCGCGTCATACGTAATTGGTTTGGATTTAAGTGTTCTTGGTGACAATTAGCGACATCTGCCAATGGAGATCACGGAACTGAGAGTGCGATGAAGTGATGAAACAGAAGGCCATGAGACACGGTGCAGCTGGGAGCCTTGAAGTAATGGTTCTTGTTGCGAAGATGTTAATCATATTTGTTTTCTTTACGTATTCGATTTAAGAAATACTTAAAGATGTATAATTAACAGGGGCAGATTACACACCAACGTTACTGAAGGCGAAATCCACTGTTAGGGAAGTCGCCTAGTTTCTATCGAAGAGAAAATCTTTCAAAATCTTTTTAGAAAATGATTATAAGCCAAAATAAACGAGCGAATGTTGATGATTAGATCTGCACCTATCAATTTCAAATAAATTGAATTTCATTATACAACTGCTCTTATGAAATAGCCTTTAAATAATACCACTAGATAGCTGAGTGCTCAACTTGTTTCTCACAAGTTATACTAAGCAAATAACTCTTATACTGGTTAGTACTCAAGCCTTACTTAAGAGTTCTCCTATAACCAACAACAAAACACGCTTTGTAGAAAACCACATGCTTCTATTACAAAAAACATCTTCTGAATCTTTCTAAATAATACACCTCGTTTAATCTGTTGACCATCACCTCCAGCCAGACCAAGACAAACTAATCCCAATTGAACTCGACATTTCCAGTTCTGTTTGTAAAGTGATCCTCCGAGTCCTGACCTCTCATAGTGGACACACATAGTGGGTGCACGTATACGTACGCTATGAATACTGCAGGCTCTGCGGTATCCGACGAACCAATGATGATTGGTTCACGATCAAAGGGAAAACGTTAAAACCAGCTGCACTTCAATCACCCACTCGGATTCCCGTCGCGATTAATCGTTTCAAACAGGCGTCGGTCAACGTTCCATTAGCATCGCGATTCGTGTTACAACGCTAAACGTAAATGCCCGTACATGCTCGCGTTAACGAGCGTGTTTCGTCGATGAAGTATAGTCGTTAATATGAACATAAGAAATTTTTAGCTAAAATCCCTCCACAAGGACGTCTCCCATGTAGACCAGGAGAACAGAGATGAATATTACAACGAACGATCGTTCCATCGTCGAAGACAGATTCCTACGACCGCAATTGGGTAACGGTTTATCGGTGGTTGTCTCGATTGGCGGGAGTCCTGCGACTTGGCCAGGTGGAAGGCTCTCTACAGGTGGCGTATGAACAGTAATCGGGTGCTCGTAATACGGTGTCTGGATGATCTCTGGCCAAGCTGGTTGAACCGTTTCTGGCACTTCTGGCCAACCTGGTTGAACCGTTTCTGGGACTTCTGGCCAAGCTGGTCGAACCGTTTCCGGCACTTCTGGCCAACGTGGTTGAACCGTTTCTGGGACTTCTGGCCAAGCTGGTCGAACCGTTTCTGGCACTTCTGGCTGCTGAGGTCTAACAACGTGAGTTGGAGACGGTGGAGCGACGGTTGGCGGGACCCTATACTCTGGAGGACCTGAGTATCCCGTTTCCTGACCTTGTAATCTATTATCCACAGCGGGTGGATACTCCCTATCCCAGGTGTTTCTGTCCGGCCAGGCGACTTCAGGCGGGTCAGCGGTGCGGTCGACGTTGGAATCCACGGAAGGTGGAGTTTCATGACGATCATTCGGGCCAGGTGCCAATGGGAACGGATCGCTGCCCGTATAAATCGGGAATTCAGGCCTGGCGTTGGTGGATTCTGGAAAACTGGGTCGAGGTCCTAGGACTGTCAGGTCCAAGTTGTCAAGCTTGTTTATGTCAAGCGTATCCGTGGTTGTTTGAACAGGTATAACTCTAGGAGGAACATGGACTCCCCTCGCGATGTCGTAAGGTGACATCGTTGTTGTGAACGACTGGGTGTCCTCGTAGCCGATCGTTGATGGTCTTTGCGTAGTTCTCCAATCGGGAGTGACGCGCATTGGATGATAAACAACGTCTTCGGTAGTGTAGAACCACAGTGGCGGGTACGTTGGCGTAGATTCCATGGGACGAGGCGTAGAAGGTCTTGAAGCGGGATGCAGCCTTTCTCGATGCATAGGTAGCTGCGTCGTTGGAACCGAAGTGGTCTCATCGTACACGTCTTCGTACTCGAGTGGAGTTTCCACGGGGACCAAGTCATTGGGAATCTTATTCCACTCGGGGTCTCTTTCGAACATCACCCCACGATCTTCAAGGTAGCTGCTCACCGCATTGGGACACTTAAACTCTGAATTCTCGCTGAGGAACATCCTCTGCAGTTTCAAGTGAGCCATATCGCTGAGGTTCAAGCATTCCAAACGGTTACCAGAGAGCCTCAGATCTATGAGACTAGGTAGATTCTTGAACACACCGTCCTCGATGGTGTGTATGTTGTTGAAATTCAGGTCTAAGAACGTTAAGTCATTCAAACCTCTGAACCAGGACTCCTCGACGGCGGTCAAGTAGTTGTTGTCCAAGCTCAGCTGCTGGAGATTTATCAGGTGCTCGAAAGCACCTGGCTCGATGTCTACTATACCGCAGTGGGAGATGGCGAGGACCCAAAGCTCGGAGCCAAACCTTGAGAACGTATTCCTGGTTATCCGTGATATTGGCATGTTCGTGATGCGAATCTTTCCAGTGGAGTCCGGAAGGCCGTCCAAATCGGAGAGCTGACCGCCCTCGCATGAGTACTCTATCATGTCGTCGTTCTTCACGTGTCTGCACTCGCCTTGCACTCCACTGACACTAGCACACAAAAGAGTCAACAGTAACAGTCCCACAGTGGCACCCATTTTACGCAGCAGGGTCGTTCAATTATTTTTAAAATCGCACGATCGTTCGTACAGTTTGTTGATCGCAATGTTGTTGTAACACCCACGTATCATTATCGTGCGTACAGTCCTCGACGACTCAATGGATCACGGTCATCGTGGTAGGGATTTTAGCCGAAAATTACAGTGCATCTAGCAGCGGGCTAGACCCGGTCTAATTGCTCTGTAGACTGAATCCGCTCTTGCGTTCCCTCTTTACTTATTTACTAGCGTTCCCCCTCCGTCGTAGCTTCGTACTACTAGTCCGCCTCCTACTACTAGTTCCAATCACGAAGCAGTACTATCTATTGATAAAAATAGAGAAGCTTGAAAATAGCGCGCTGCCTCACTTGCTCATCAGATCTCTGAGGTGATGTGTAGCAGACACCAACGGGTGGGGAGCGATCAAGCTTAAATTTATGAGTGCATCGCCGTCTGCGTGCGATCGACACTTGTACGATGTTTCCTATGCTGGATGTTGCAAACTTATTAGAAAACGAACCGCGTGCTAGGAATACGCAATGTCGAAGGTAGATTTAATGATATGAAGGAATAATTTGACTCAGGGATCTTTATCTAGATGATTATTTAAAAATGGAATCATTTTTTATTTGACTAAATTTCTGACCAATGGCTATCAAGTGTTGCCTTCCCATGCTATATTCATATTTATTGACCTTATAGATAATTTTCCAGATACAAAGTGAGAACAATTTTAAAATATGTAAAAGATGGTACTTACGTGAAGGTCGAGACACTTTAACTACCGCTTACCTTACGCTTTCTACGTTGCTTCTTTTTGTCGTTTTCTTGAGTGAATTCAGTATATTCTGGTACTTCACCCTTCTCTATGAGATTTTGGATGATACTATGTAACCTTGGTTCGTCATCACAGCTCGTAAATGGAACAGTTTCTAAGATGTAGTCCATATCTCCTTCACCTAAGAATAACATCGAAATTAATATCTTTGATATATTATACAAATGATATAGAAACTTTAAATTCACTTACTGTCCATGTAAGCGCGTTTCAGATCTTTGATTTCTATTTCAGATCCTTTGTAATTCTTCTCATAATTATTAATATCCTCCACAGTTATTTTCTTGAATAGAGTCTTCCAATAGTCTGCCCAATTTCTCATCATAACCTCTTCGCTCTCTTCGTCGTATTGACCAGACTGATCATAAATTTTACGTTTCTCGCTGTCACTGAGGATGGAATGAATTCGTCCAAGGACTTTGAATTTTTCTGTTGCCTCTGCTTTGATGTCATCTTCAACACGATCCGGATGAACAAGTAGAGATAGTTGATGGTATGCTTTTTTCACTGAAAAAATACAAAGAGGATTATTGTTTGATATGGACAGCAGAGTAGTGTAAGCAACAGCTATTTTTATTAAATGTAATATATTAGAATTAAAGACAGTAACAGATGTACCTCACAGTTACAGGTTATGTACACAAACCTTGTTTGTCAGTTGCACTTCTTGAAATTTTTAGGACATCGTAAAAATCACGTGCACCGAAGTATTGTTCACAAAGGTCTATTAAACTTGCCATAATTTTGATTCACTAGTTAACCACCAATAAGTTTTGTTGGAAAGTAGCCGGGATGACAGAGGATGTTGTATGTTTTGGCGCTTATTTTTATTTCAGTTCCGTTCTACATAAAGTGGACCGAAAGCGACACCTGTATTTCCCTCTCACTATTGACTATAATCAATGTTTAATTACATTCTGTAATTAGGAAATAATCTGAAGCTGGAATGGTGGGATGTAGGACCATTCACTGATACAGTCTTAAAAGAAATCATAAGATTTATTACTTATATATAACAATTACAGATTAACTGTAAAAGAGTTACTGGTGCTGCCATCCGTGGGAAAATGCTCAAGTTTGTCGCCAAATAGTTCCAACTTTTAGACGCTAGATGACATGACTTTATTCTGGATACCGACATTTGAGATCATTCTAATTTTTATTTGCATATATACGTAGTTTTAAAATGTCTTAATTATACTATGGAATAATTACATAGTCGTTATTTGACGTAATAAAATAGAATAAGGAAATAAATAACAGTATTTGATGTTTTAATATTGCTGGCGTTATCCAGCGTTTAAAAGTTGAAACTATTTGACGACAAACTTAGACGTTTTCCCGCGGATGGCAGCACCGCTCACTTATAGAAATACGCGCGAAAATATCTGTACAAATATTTTTAGATTAATATTTGTGACGTGAATATTATCCGTAATTGTAAGTAAACTTGCTTACGACTTTCATTAAATATTTTTTGATTTAATACATCACTATAAGTTTAAAATAAATGAGACGTGTTTCGAGTTTTAATATAACGTTTATATTAAAAAAGAAATTATATAACATGGATTTAGTCATCCCCGACACAACAAATATGATACTAAACCTTACGGTTTACAATTTAGTTATAATGAAGCAAATCGATCTAAGTTAGAGATATTCGACTTCTATACTATAATTCTGTAATTCTTCTATATTATGAACGCTGAAAATTATGCGTCTCCTGTGCGTGTTTACAAGACATCGCATAGTTACAATCGCATGTTTACATATAAAGATCTATTGCTTTATTAAAATTCAGCGCATTTATACATTACCTTATATTTATAAGACAGTTGTCCGGTGTATTCGAATTCGTAATTAATTTATAAGCTAATTTGTTACTTTAATTGGCCGTGAAATACACATAGATCAGATGAATTATAAATAATAGGTTTAAGTTTGTGCCAGAGATCGAAAGCTTCATTTATCTTCTTTTTTTCTAAGTATATCAATCAAGTATCCTTAACCTAACATAAATCTATATTTGATCGTAATTACATGTTTGCATTTTTTTTTATTAATAATCTTACAGTGGTGATTTGTTACCTTATAGAACAATTATATACATTAATTCATGTTATAAATATAAGTTATTATACATTTATATCTATATGTTCAATTATGTAGCAAATAATATTTTGAGCAGGTTTTCTATTCAACATGAATATAATAGATTATGGAAGATGGTATTCCACTTTATTAGACACCTTTCGAATAAAAATAATGTGAATAATTTTGCGAATATGTAAAAATCTAACCAATCGGATGGGAAACATGTCAATATTTAATAATTCGTATTACATTCGACAAGCCAAAATTAATTTTCGCGACATAAGTGGAAGAATCAAGACCATAAAGTCTTCTTTGGTAGATATTCTTCGCACGTTTTAAACAAAACATTAAATTATGCTGTCGATTAGTACTGGTACCCTTGCGATTGTTGTTCTTGAAAATGTTAAATGTATACACAACACTCACATATTTAATAATTAACAATATATAATTAACACCAATAGAAATTGTTTGCATTAAGACGATTATTTCAGCTTTTTGAATAAGACGAAGATATTTATATTGATACAATCGGTCATGACCAATTACACGAAATTCGAGGATTACACCATACTTTTCCTTTCAATACTCGACTATGTAATTTCTAAAAAAAAAGGAAAAAAAATAGGACTAAGTTACTCGATCACAATACCGTTATCCCAGAAAATTTATTTATTGATTCGTTTCGCGATGCAATATAACAAATTGCTAAGAGAACAATCAGGAAGAGTTACCAATTCTAATATAATATAACTACTCTACACGTTATTTTATTTACACTTACGATTGACAGTATCGATAAAAATCAGGTAATATGTGTGCTATGGAGCGAAGTAAACATTACCGCTCGTTTTTTTACATTTTTTTTTATATGGTGCGCCTCTCACATTGCAAAGATATACCTAGGCACTTGGTGAGCGATTATCTCGCTTATATACTTTATTCGTTAATACTTGAACTCTGCTTGCCAACGAAGGAGAAACGTTTTTCTTTTTTAAAGAAAAAAAAAAAAAAAGCAGAAGTGATTAAGTTTTTTAATAATATCATAACAACAACACTCGCACTTCAATACCATAGAGACAATGATCATTATAAAACAATGTTCTCTTCGCGTATACGCATACGACATTTATAAAAATAATTTTCTACCGATCCTTCGGCATTGTCGAGTTACCTCGTCGTTTTTAACCATTCTCTAACAATTCCCTAGCGATAAACATTTGAAACTTGTATGTTTCAAACACACAAGTCAAAACAGAACTTCCGAGTACCATCACGAGTATTAAATGTATGCCTTTAAAAAAATACACCTTCACCTCTCTAACCTTCGTTTTACTTCTTTTTTTTTCCCACTCGTCTGCAAACCTGTCGTGGCAGAGGTAAATTATATTTCGTTCGGTGAAACTTTTCGATTGGCACTAATCATAACAAATGCCAACAATAATTCTTCGCGACTACGTAATTCGTTTTCTCTTTCATACGCGGAGACGTTGATTCTCACGTCGCTACTTCATGCGATTCAATACTAAATCGCAGACCACCTGGAGACCTTTTTGGTACGGGCTTTCGGCTAAGGATCCTGCAAGTTTGGCGGCCTCCACGCAATGTTTTCTGGCTAGAAATCTCGTCTGATCGAGACCTTGAGATTTGTGTACAAGCTCGAAAGCTTTCTCGACGTCCCCCGGCTCTTGAAACCGGCGCATGATCATCGCATTTAATTCTGGATACTGTAATAAACGAAGAGGTTACAGTAGACCACACTCAACTCTATTAATTAGTATTGGTATTAGCAATGATGGACCATTATGGTGGACATAGTGCCACTGGATGGAATTCAGATTCAGTGACCAAAATGGTTAAAGAAAGTTATTTCACACTTCGTCAAGACTTCAAAGTAAGGTAATTGCACAATTTAGTCTTCAGTTCAATTAAAATTAAAGAGTTCTTGCTGTGAAACATGTTAGCTATTGAAATAATAGATGTCAATTACTAAAATAATTGTTAGGATCAAGAGACAATTATTTTCCAATTTGGAAAAACCCGCGTAGCAAACATCAAGTATTGGGGCATCAAGTAACGTGGACATGTATACTTTAGACCCGCGACACCCTTGACGTCTTATGGCTCAGTTACCTGGCCCAATAAAGCAATAACTACTGTTTCAGTTTACGACCTCGCAAGATCCCTTCCAGCGACAGTATTTCGTATTTTGTAAGCATGAAGACAGACTGTTCTCGCGAACGCCACTCAGAGGCAATCTGTGTAGTCCTTACCCGTTCACACGCGAAGAGAACTGGAGCAGTGGCAAGACCAAGCTTGAGGTCGGCTGCAGTAGGTTTGCCCATTGCCTCCAAAGACGACACAAAGTCCAAAAGGTCGTCGACCAATTGAAACGCCAAGCCAACATTTCTACCATATTGAAAGGCTACGTCCGCAAGCTGTTCATCGGCACCTCCTAGCATGGCCACCTGCGTCAAAGCAAATTTATCAATACAGATACAAATGAACCGATCGATCAAGAATGAGGACTCACAGATTTCAATGCATTGGCGATCAAGCTGGCCGTCTTGCGATACGTTTTCGTGAGGTAGTGCGCGAATCTCTCGTTCTCCGTCTCCTTGGAGCCGAGCTGCATAAACTCACCCTGCACCAGGTCCGTCACGACCTGGAAAGCACCTGGACTGGTGAATACTTATCGTCAGGATTATATCAGGATCCTAGAGCACGTGGATACTTTCCCGCGGACGTGGAATTAATAACAAACGTATTATAAACCGAGGTATCAACCAAAAATTCAACGACAATATTCTATCTACGAGACGGAATGGTAAAAATTACTTTTTAATAGACAAAAGAAGAAAGTTTGCGTAGAAGGAAAGAAAAAATTCAAATGTCGAATACAGATCAAAGTTTGGAGTAGGATTATCAATAAAGTTAGATGACCGAACATTGTACTTTGAGGGAAAATATGGGAACCGGTGGTGCAACCAGAAATTTCAAATAGAGGACGTGTATCTGGTAAAATCTGAGTCCATCTCTATTTATGTTTAAAAATAATTACCATGATGCTGAATTAATTTTCTTCCCTCCCATCGGTACATATATTCAAAACCTCACCGAACGTCGTTATACGATATTTTTTTAATATCATTATAATTCCAAATAACATTTTTAAAAAATTCTTTCACGGTGCTTGCGTTTATCCCCCTCCTCGTTCTGGTTGCACTACCGTCAGAAACGCACTCGACGAACTTTACCTGACTGAGGCATAGCGTGACGTCGTCGTTTCGAAGTTGAGCGATCATAATCGACGCGACCGCCAGAATGTAATCCCCCGCCATCGTGACCTGAGAGCAAACAAGTAAAGTGAATGTTTAACTATAATGATCCTGGCATCAATGAAATCTTCGATGACCGCACATCGTCATCGACTAAAAAAGGTAAAACGATTACGCACGATTTCAGTACGCCGTTACCTTTCACCGTGAATCTTTCGAAACGCAAACGATGAACTTAGAGCGGGTGAACGATCGTTCTTTACCAGTTTTTTTTTTTTTTTTTTTCTACTTTTCTTCACTCCTGAACACGAGATGCTAGAGATTCCTGCGTACGCAGACTGCAGAGCAATTAACCGATCGCGATAAAGATCTCCGGGCTGTTTGATTCTGTTCCAAGCAGTTGGTATTCGCTCGGAATGAAGACTGGCAATGCGAGAGGCTACTTTCTTTAGTCCGCAGACGCGGGAGTATAATTTGGTCCACGATTAAGGTAAAAGTGCCCACAGAAAGCGTAACATGATAGAATACGGTGGAAAAAACTTGTCGAATGCGGTGGAAGGTGTTCTCTCTGAGAGATCGGTGCTTCGAAAATTATTTCAAACATTCCTTAGTCGTACCGCAGCCTTCGAAATCATGACGGATCGAGCCTGCTTGGGGAATTTTTAAAAAGTGAACGGGTACATAAAAATTTTACAGAAAAATTGTCGACATCGTTAATTTATTCTATGAGACTTTACGATGGCTTGTTCGTGGGACTCTTTTGGTGAAGTTTAATGATTCATACCTGGGTAAGAAAGATTTCAGAGCAAAATTGCAAGGAACTTCACGATTAATTTTCACTGAAAATAAATCTTACAAGTTCGTTAACTGTACAGGAATTTCTATGAATTCCTAATTAAATGCGCCTGCTACTGATGTATATTACAAAATTAAACATTAACCCATTTTCAACCTTATCAATTAAACCTTCAAAAATATATTAGGTAGGCCGAAAAGTAATGTCGTTTCTTTTACATTAAATTCAAACTTTTCAATAAATTTCTATCTTTGATTCATTATATAATCGCCCTCATTGTCAGCAGCCTTTTGTCACCTAGTGTGCAAATTTTCAATGCCAGAAAAATCAATGTGCTGATAAATGATAAACAAGTATTTAAGATGGCAAAAACGACATTACTTTCCGGTCCACCTAATATAATACCAATTATTTATAATTGCATACCAAGTGTTGGTAAACAGACACAAATTTTAATTTATCGAACTAAATCAAATACTAAACAAAAGATTCGTTCATCGTTGAATAAAATGTTGCTTACCTTTCCTCCGATCGTTCAAAATTAATATCTAGAATCATGGTCGTGTTCGGTTGCGATAGCGCGCAGGATGGGACACGCGTGTGCGATATTGTTAGAAAGTCGTCAGAATGCAAATAGGGGTTAGACTGATGGGAACGAGTTAAGTAATCGCGGTTGCATTGCAAGGGAGAATAGATCGTCAAAGGCTTCTCCACGAGCATTTAGTTTCCGACGCATGTGGCTGCGGTTTTCTGGCATCAGGAGTGGTGACGGGAAACGTTCGACGAGCGCATTGTACGCTTAGCATATAACACGCAGAAAACCACACTTTCTTAATGGCTTTTAACATTGCTGGCTACCGTCTAAGACGATGACTACCAAGCGACACTCAATCTCATATTCCAAATTCGTTAAACAGTCCCCCTAATGCATAATAAACGGCGAGAACAATGAATTTTCTATCGCTTTCTAGGCTCACTGGATAAATTATTCTCCATTAAAGGTGGACGAGTGCGACATAATTACCAGTAGTTCGTCACATTTCATACAAGTGTTATTTATTATAATACTTTCTTAGACACGTGACACAAATAATGATAAACAAACAAAAATATCAGTAAAAATATTACGCTTGATTATAAAAAGTTAGAATTTTAATTAATATACATTGTAAACTGAAAAAATTGAAGAAAGGTTGTTTGATTAGTGTGAGTTAGTATTTTGTTTGATTAAGCTGAGTTGATATTTGACGGCACTTCCCGCGCGTTTTATCATGTAATTTCGTTTAGTGTTCGAGGAATTACCTCGTGCTAGATGACGTTATATTTTCGAATCTATTTTTGGAGAGATGCCTCTACGACTGTTTGCTTCCGGCGTAGGTAATGGATTCATGTGTCTCGCTTTTTTCCTTCATTGTGAAACTTCCAAGGTAAAAGGATGAAACGCAAACACCGAGAAATTGATCATTCGGATTCCTCTTACAAAGCCAGGAAATCAGTAAAAGACGAGACACTGCGTGCATAGAACAATCTTACTAAATATCATTAATGCAGTACCAAGGGCAATACTTTTACCATTATTACAATTACAACGATAATAAAATTCAATTCCTGAACTAAAATAACAGAAATCATTCTCAAAAAATTACAACATAAACGATAATTATTTTAAATGGAACAACCATAGTTAAGCATTAAATAGTGAGAAAAACGATGGGGTACCATTAACGTTTAACTTACTATTACTCTAACATTGTGAATATCATACATTCATAATTTAACAAATACATATAATTAAAAAAAAAAAAAAAAAGATATACTTCCAGTCACTGACACGAAAATTAATAATAAATAAGTTTTATCGAAGACATTAAAACTTCATTTCCTCTTACTGAAATTCATCCCTTATATCAAGAGAGAAAGTCCTTAGTTTACAACACACCTTTTTCCAGACACGACAATCAGCCTAGGCGAAATGGGCGAGTATCAGGGGAAATTAGCATGACGTAATTTTTTAACGTCCCTTTGTTTCTGTTCAGAGAAAGAAATCACAGGTGGACGCGCGAATGGCCGCGTGTCGTTTCGTCGCCTCGTGACAACGGACAACTGGCTCGTAATTTCGAGTTTCACATCCGGTATCGTTTTCACGCGCGTTAAGTGCGACGACACGCCACGCGGGATTTCCTTTCGAAAACGTCGTTTTCGTAGCCGTGGCCGTACTTTATTAAAATTGCCAGAGTCGTTGCGAAACGCGGAGATTTCGCAAAACGCGCGTGAATCAGCGCGGCGTGCAACAGGGTGCAGCCCCGAGCGGACGAAAAGCCTAATTACGCTTCATCGCCTTTGGGAAAATAACTTCCAGTTAATGGTACGGATCAATATAACGAGACTTTTTATCAGTCCAATCGGATTTGGCCACTCGGAAACATTCTTGTGCAGTTGAATTTTACTAAGTCGTTACGGATGATGTATAAAAAGTCTCGTGATTAGGGTTGGTATCGTAAGTAGACCGACGTTTAGGCGAATTCATATCTTCGCGGACGTAGAAATGAAACTCAAGCTTAAATGAAAATATGTCTTATCCCCTAGATGGTGTAACATGTACGATATTGTTGACATTTTATATATTTCTGCATTGCTATAGATATTATGCATACAAGACATTACGTAACTAACTATCGCATGAAGTTTACTTTATCTTTGAAGAAATAAATCACTTTTCAAGTGCTTGGTCATATTCTGATTAGAATATATGCTCCAGGTCAAGCACATTTTTTTGAATCTAGATTTATAGTAAACGTTTAACAAAAATTCTACAATGGAACAGTTCGATGACTCGATTCGAGAGCAGAATATACAATAGAAAATGGTCTTGGCTATTTCACCGTTCGATAAATATTTCATGTAACGGCATAGCATGTCCAACGGCCTTGTTATTTGCGCCTAACTCAGCGATAATTATATATACACGAGCAAGAGGTCGCTCAATTAGTGTCGTGTTAATATGTCGCCGTTACACAATTGGTTATCCTAGTGTTCGATCTTCGACGCGAGACTTTCGTGGTTATTTGACGGCTTTCCATTTCTTTGTGACTCGCTAATTCGTTTCTCAAGGCCGTCACACTTTTCAAGCCTCCCACCGAACCACTATACCAGAAGCCCACGTTTACGTCAAGTGTGTCTCCAATGCTAAACCAATTAATTCCAACTCGGTCATTTCGCTGTTCATTCTTTCGACACCCGCTAATCACGGATGGAATGTGTCTATCACAATGTATCGACTAGATCCTTTCACAAATCTTTACGTACGTTGGTTCGAGTAAACTATGTCGCGAAAAAATGTATGGAAATAAAAATTGAAAGGGTGAGGAGGTAAACGAAACTTTTATTCGAGCCATTCGTTGCACAAATCGATTTAATTCGATTTTTTGATAAATCTTAAAAAGTGTCAAAGCACTTGGTACGGTCATAACTTTCCTGAATGATAAAGATAAACACCATTAAACGACGAACATTATTACATCGTATTATTATTATTTATTATTATTATTATTATTATTTATCTGTACATTATTTCAACGGATTTCTTAACTTTTTGTTTTTATGGATCTAATCGATTTGTGCAACGAACGGCTCATTCGTCGTTCGGTATCTAAAGACAAATGTATGAGATGCGTACCTTTTTATAATCATTCGTAGAGCGAGCTGTACGCGCTTCCTCTCGCCTGCATGTAGCATTGAGTGCATTTTATATGCATGCCTAATCGTTGAATGCGATAAAACGATTTGTAGCACTCGGAAATGAAAATCAAGCGCGAGACCGAACCTCGAATGACGAAACGTCCGTTACCATTTTCGAAGCGAAAGAAAAAGTTCGGTAACGAGGTTTTGAAACAACCGATCGTTATGTGATTCGGTCAGTGGATCCCTGCCTCGATATAATGATCCCGAGAAATCTAATCGGCAGAATCATTTACTTTCGAGGCAATTTCTAACGCTCGGTCTAACGCAACGTCAAGGGATTATGCCAGCTTGGCGGCGTGAAAACAAAGGGCAATATCAAGAATTTTGTTTACAGTAACGTTGTATGCACCATCGAAGTGACTTTCGTTTTTACAAGCACGTCCTGCAGTTAGTAACTGAGAGATATTTTCTATATATAGATTGGACACCAAGAAAAATGAAAAGTTTGAAACATTGTAGGCTTTGCTATAGTCATCCCTCATAAATCTCATCAATTTTCGTCGAGATATTTCTTGAGATTCTACGATTCCTATATATGCCTACAAATGCAAGTAACAGATGACAACGCCGAGGGAATTTTTTTTGAAATGTATCTATTCTACTTTTATTTTGAAAAGTAGTTTCTTCTCTGTTACTTACCTTATAGCGATTAATTTTTGAGATCACTCGTATGCACGAATTAATCAGGACTACAAATCAGTGTATCCTTGTACAACTTAAAAAAACATATCGCAAAATTTCGTATGCTCTAATCTCAATCACCGTGAATATCCCAAATTTCTTTTTTTTTTTTCCCAAGATGATATACCACCAACTGTAAGCTATTTTCTTCATAAACAAGATGGCCGTCGCAGCGATTCCCATTTTCGAAATCTCGTCAAGCGTGACCGCGGCGGCATAGGCAGACCAAACGCGGATTCGTTTCCGGTTCCAAGTCAAGAAAGCGTGCACGGTCAGCTCCGCGCGTCTCCGTGAATCGCATTAGCCTCTTTCCTTCTCCGGTATTTCAGAGAGAGTTTTCAGTCCTGATCGATCGAACGATCGAGGCTGTATCGAAATTCACGGTGCATCGTGTGAAAGAAGTCTCAGATGCCGATGATGACCAACGATCGAATAAACATGAGTCCCTCCACGGTACGAGCGAACGTTTATTAAACGGAGAGACAGATTGGATAGAAAAAAATAGTGGTTCCTGGTATTCGAAGGTCGGTTTCACCTTGGTAATTAGCTTATGCTCGATGTCCGCGAGTCTTTGGACATTTATTTTTTATTTTCATTTAACGATGGAATCGGCGAATTTACCAGAACTTAGTTTTAATATCGAAACGGATGGATTCTGGGATCATTGGTGCGGACTGCGGCCGGATGAAGATCTTACCTTTTTTTGGCTCCAGACAACGTTGACCGAGGGTTTTCCACGGCGGTAGTCGGGCTGGTCGATTACGTCGTCGTGCACTAACGAGGCGTTGTGGATCATCTCGGCGATCATCGCCACCTGTCGCTGCGATGCCAAGAGATCACTGAAACGAATCCAGTTCTATCGATCAATCGTCGATCTTCAAGGTCCGAGTAACTTATACTAAAGACTTCGTCTACCAGTTGCCGATATAAAATATGTCAGCTGATAAAATTATTTTCTAACGCGCGAAATGAGATTGATTATTTAGAGATTGGTTAGGCGTGAAGGTTGTTGAGTCACGATTCGAAGAGAAAGGACGAATAGGAAAAACTCGAGGAATAGAAGAGTGGGTAAGCTTAATGACTCGCGATTATCGTATATGTCTAGATTTCACTAGAATCAACCTATAATTCATCGATCATGAAGGTGTGGAGAAATTGATAGGATCGAGTTCACATGTGCAGCTACGTAATTGAAAATAGGACCAATCAAATGATATTTGAATTAACATCGATATGTATCAACTCGCGAGCATTGAGGTATCGAGCAGGTATCGAAATAACTTGTCATTGGTATCAGTGAGATAAACTTGTTGACATTTCTTGTAGTATCAATATAATTTAAACATGATTTATCAACCAGACCTAAATAAGATAACGATGTTGGCCAATATTCTATCAGAATTTTGAATTATTTCAGTAACTTAGAAAAAGAACTTTGCGTGAACATATTCAAATACTTTTTTAAGTATTTTTCAGGTAGCATATTCACACGGTTCTGAAGTTTTGAAACTTTATTCTCGAATTCTATATGCGCTGCTTATCTCAATTAAAGCTACAATAAAGATACCATTATCAATAAAAAACGAAGTCAAGAACGTTATTACATTATTCTTATTTAACGAAATTAATTATCAGTCTTAAAACAAGCTATTTTTACTTTAATCTTTGACTTGATTTTCAGAATGAATGATAAATGTTAAATTAAAATTATGAAAATTGAAGAGAAAGAGTGAATCCAATAATATTACATAGAAAATTATACGAATTAATATCGGATAGTATATACGAAAAGTTCGAACACAAGGGTTCCTGAACTGTATTAATTTTTAAATTAAACCTAGCAAGATATATCGTTTTAAACGATACTCGTAATGAATGAACCTTCTCTTCTGTAGTATTTACTTTTCGCAGGACAACGTGGGTCGAGCAAAGATGATTCAAGAAGTTGAACGAGAAATTTGACGTCTGAAAAAAAAAAATTGACGTCTGCTTTTTCAACCGAGGGATTAACTACGATCTTCGAGTAGCGACGTCATGCTTACTACTATTTACAATTCGTCGAGCATATGCGACAACGTACACTAGTTCTCATTCACTGGACATTCTCATTCATATTCATCGTCGTCGATTCGCCCCACGACGGGTAATTGCTTCCAAAGCAATTGATGAATTTGAAACGCACAGTCGCGACACGTCGCATTCTTTCGGTGCTTTCTAAACGTTGCAAACCTATTCTCTTTTGCCTATCAGCGAGTCGAGAATCACATTGTATTACACCGTTGCAATTTTAGATTTATATAAGTCGAATCGTATGGATTACTCAACAATTACATCCAAGTAAAAATGGAGCATACGAAGGATACAAAATTGCAAGTATTATAATCTGTCCATCATTTGATTTCATCGAACAAAGTGATGGAATTAATTATTCTTGATTCACATTAACGATAAAGTATTTTTTGATTAGCTGATAATAATCAATATAGAAATTTGTACAGGAAACAACGAGACGACTCTGAATTTTAACAATGTAATTCAAACAGTATTTCGTGATTGATAATTAGACTGTGAAAGTTTATGCACTTATAGCGCCTGAAAATATAAAAATAGGCTACGAGGATGTGCAAAAATTTAAAAATATTTCGTTTAATAATTTAATTTAAATTTCATCTGTTTATCTATATAGAAACATGGATTTGCATGAACAATACGGTTTAGTGCTAATAGACGAAACGTTTCCCATGGGTCATTAACGACCCACTGAACGCGGAACGTGATCCGAATGCCCGACGAGTTATCTCAATCGTTAGATGCCTATTCCTGCATTATTCCAGAGTTTTATTTTTTTAAGATCGTTGATTAGGTACCACGCGAAATAATTGCGCGTTTCGTCGACGCGTTTATAGGCTATTCTGCTCTCTATGACGCAAAACGATCGGAACGAAGGGAGCCGTTTGAATGGGCAATAACACCATAATCGCGGCAAAGCGCAGTTTACCGACGGCGAACTTGAAAGAATCCGCTTACAGGCGCGCCTCTCGCAACTCACTTTCTTTCCTTGTGGTAATTGATAGCCCGTGCCATGAGAATTGCTACCATCGGCCGCAATGCCTTTCCCTTGCCGTCGAAGTAGTACGTCGCTATAGTTTGCAGCTCCTTCTGCGTGGTGTTCCTGATGAGTACCTGGAACAATAGCAAACGTAACCTTGACTTCGCCCGGTGAAACGGAATTCCCATTGTTATTAGGAAAAGCGTGAAGCGCTCGTCTACCATCCTCTAACCAAATTAACGCAGACCTTTGACGACTTTTCTGTTGAATCATAATGGAATTAAATAGAAGAACGAAAATTGTCGAATAAATTGGGCATACTTTAACTGTTTCACGTACGATGGAAAAATTATTCAGTGCTTTTCTAAGTTAGACTCACCATTTATTTATAAAAAAAAAAAAAAAAGGATATGCAACTTTTGCTCGTTCCTCCGTCACAGATCTCAAGAGAGCACATTGTAAAACCAAACACATTTACTAATACTACAGTTATAAATAATTAAATGTGAAGGCAGAGAATTAATTTCTACACTGACAAGTGTATAAGTATATTATACACTTGCACTTTGTTGGAAGGACAACGATAAACACAATTTGTGGGCTCCTGAAGTTCGTGTCTATGGATAAATTGTAATGACTAGACTGCGAATATTTATGCATTCATAGGAAATTTGAATGTGCAAGAAACTACAAAATGCAAACAATATGCAAGAATATAAAAAAGATTGAAAGTAAAGTGCATGTTATAATATTTGTAGAATAAAATAAATTCCTATTTAGGTTCAATATTTGTAGGCAGATTCGCGAAGATTTTATTTTGCATAAAGATCCGCAGTCTAGTAATGACCATCAGTTTGAGACTTAGTAGACCTAGAAAGCTTTGGAGTCCTGCAAAGGAGTAGAATTAATTTCTACACTTACTGTATTCGCGAAAGTATTATTTCGTTCCATCGTCAGCTGTAAACGCATCGAAGTAAACCCTCGAAAATTAAAAAGTTTGGAAGTTCAGAATATTTGACCACCAGAGTGACCAGAATGTTTCGAAGCCTGTAAGAACAACTTTGAGAGACACTGGCCAGACTAATCAAAGTACCGTTCCACCTGACGCGTTCGTACGAATTAGAACACAACCGATATATTATTTCAATTCAATGCAGGCGTTACATATTTTATTCTAAACCAATTTACCGTCGACCGGCCGCGTATAGACAATGGCTGACCATAAGACGATGATGATTCGGATACGTGACGAACGATCGTCGGTTGCAAGCGCGATAGAAGCAGGAACGACGGCTATGTGGACGTATCGTTTCGAATTCCACGCGTGACGCTGACTGAAAGTTCGTCCTGGAATTTGGCCAAAGTCGAAAGGAACCCGCCCGATCCTCGAGCTTACGTCAGAAACGCTTTCCGTATGGTCGCGTGATCGGAAGCCAAGATGTGGATGCAGGTGACTCGATTCAGTGTTATCTCAACTGTTCGTACGTTCACAGGGTATAGCATAAAATGTGAGAGCCACTGTAACGATTAGAAACACAAACTACGAAAAAAAGTTCTCATAACCATGCGCCTTATTCGAGCTCGTTCCTTAGTGGTAGCCTTTTTTGTACTCCAGCTGGTTACCTTTATAGGAAGCATTCAAAATGGTAGCCGTCGAACCAAATGCGAGATATATTCCGTTACACTCTGAGAATTTTTTGTTTAATATGGAAGACTAGCAAGTTGAAGACTAAGTTGAAGACTGAAAAGAATAAGTAATATTCATTTATTTCGTCGATTAAATTCATATTATTCTAAACGAAGTACATGTTGAAGTATACAGAAATATGTATATAAAAGTACGAAGACTGTGTGTCATTAATCTTTTTTAACAGCAAGGAATATTTAATATGTATAACTTGTTAGAACAATCGTGAATATTGCTTGTTGTTCTGGAAAATGAATGAAACATAGCCTAAGGTTACCTAATCCCAAGAATGATCTAGTACTCTACACAAACAGTAGAATCAGTCATGCTATGTCAGCCTGTCACTAAGGATTACTGCAATAGAAAACTAGCTCAGAAACACAGTCTAATAAAGAATGTACCAGCATGAATATATCAACATCATTTCCTGTCGTTTATTTTGACTCTATGTGAATCCCACACGTCAAGGTACACCCTATATATCGTTTACAACAACGCGATTAGATCAACGTTTCCCGAGCTGTGTTTTCTATGTTTAAAGAGTTCCACGCGGTGCACTAACAAGCAGAGGTCGTCAAGTGTGACGTTTACTTTTTAATGGGCTTCTATACAATGATATAGCGCTTGTAATACCGAATCCAATATCTCTCCCTAGGAGTCCGAGGAAAGTAGAGCGAAACGAAAAGTCGCATTCTTTTTACGCATTAGAGTCAGCGAATTCACAGTTAATTGTTAGATACAGAGTTATATTGTGTTTCTAGAATATCGTTTTCAAAAAGGTGAAAACTTGCTTTTGCTCCTCAATCTTCGAATATACAGCCAATCCGATAAATATTCGTACCTTCTGTGTCTATCGAAGAAGTTAAACTAAATTAAACGATAGTTTCGATATTACCAAATGAATTTTTCATTTATCTATACGAATAAGTATACAAAAATATGTATACGAATAAGCTTATGCATGTATATATTTGTTTATATATCAACATACTTACACAAATAAACACTTGGAAACATCGAACCTACTATTTAATTTACTGTATTTCGAAATATACACTATGATTTAATATTCGCTACTTCAGAGTTATTGAAGGTGCCACGGATTCTGTTCATATTTAATAAAAACCGACATTTTAACATTCGTGTCATTACATGTTCAGATATTAATTTAAACTCGTGGGGTTAGCTTAATACATTCGTTTTTAAATGAACGAACGAATGTCCATTGAAAAGAAATCCAAGTATAAGAATGATTCCTCGCAACTAAACTCTTGTATAGTTATCTGAAAGTCCGAGGGTCTTCTCATAATTGCTGAAACAGGTCCACGTGTGTCATTCAATCTATTACCGCGACATTCCCGAGCTAATGAACCGAGGACGCTCGGTGCACCGATGACACGTAACGCGCGTGACGATACGCGTTATCGCGTTCCATGGTGCAACGAGAAAAGTGCTTTCTAAACGCGTTTGCACGCGCATACGCAAATACGATTGTAGTCGGGTGCGCGACCGTGAGTAAAAGTTCTACTCTCGGCCATATATGCGGACCGTGAAGTCGATGGCTGCTTTCGCTTAACGCGCCGCGAGCAACCATAACAAGAGGCGCCTCATCGTGAAAACGGCATTCCCCGCTATAAATATTTACAATTACGCGAACGACCATTGGCACGGAATCCAGAGACGAAACAAAAGAAGAAACAGAGGAAAATGAGAATTCTGGCGAGCAGAGGTCTCGCGACGCCTCGAGGTAATAACGAAAGCTTGGCTGTGACGCAAAGCGATGTGTTCGATTGGTATGGCTTCCAGCGAGGGTGTTGCACCTCGCAGCCTTTGCTTCCGGATCTGGTCCACCTCTTCCTGTTGAAACCTAACGGAACTACTTGGCGATTCGAGGCGAATCGGCGCGCGTTGCACCCGAAATGGCAGCAAGAAAGTGATTTCAACGAGTGGCTGGTAGCGCCCCGAAGCCACGTTGCAGTTAGTTGCTCTAGACTCGAACGCGAGGCATTAGGGGAATAGTTTCGTCGAGCTGAATTTTTTTGTGTACACTCTCGTTAAACGTTGGAACTCGCTTGCACGTAATTCGATAATGATTTTATAAGAGAAGAGAGGAAATTATATTTCTTGATTGTTCTTTCTTGGTACTGGAAAATGTTGGCTAATTATACCGTACAGCAAGAAATGACAAGAAAACATATTACTTTTTTCCAATATCAAGAACGAGTATATCATCTATTACAAAGTATGCTGTCAGGCAAATGGTTGTTTCAAGGTAAAAAAAAATGACGCATGATTATGGCTTCCAGCGAGTACCTTTCGAAATTCACGGCGAGAAACATCGGCATGCAGAATCAACTAGGAGTCTTCGGATAATTTTAGTAAAGTTATTTATTTAAACGATGTCAGAAGGCGTATCCTTTATTATTAGAATCGTGAAGTACTGATTCGATTTGACGATGATTACTTTACATTTGTTTCTATGCGACAAGAAATTCAAGTTTACATTGATAAGTGTATGGATTAAAGAGTCGTTACTCTTTATAAATATATACCATAAATTGACGTAAAATTGTGTAGCATTCGCGGTTGGCAACACATCGCTATTACATAGCTTTCTTTCATTGCTACCTTTCGGCCACGTGACTACCTTGGATAGTTCCTGGTACGGAACTGTAAAAAGTACATGACACTTCTATTTACGGAATTCGCTTACCACGTATTTCCACGTAATTGAACTGGTCCTTACGTGTAGAAATACACATTGCTTTGTAGAAAGTGTACAGGCGAAACGTCTGGTGTGTAAAGTCAATTCGATACAAGACAGAGAAACGTTTCTGAGTTCGAAACGATGACGCTATTCTGCGAATCGCGAATATTACTTCATTGTGGATAAGAGACTGACCTCTCGCACTTCCTCGTAGACACCTTTGAGGTCGTCCTCTGAGAGTCGGTAAGGATCGACTTGGTAATCGTGCAAGGATCCGGGTAACTGCGTTTGCATAGAACTCATCATCCTCGTCACATTCGTCCTGTAATCCAGCGTGCTCGTTCTACTCTGCAAGGAAAAAGGATGATTCATTATTAATAGAAACGATGAAACAAGGTAGAAAGTGGAATTTTTGAGCTATGATGAGACATTATAACTCAGAATTAAGTTCTTGAGATTTTATCGAATATTAGCTTATTAGTTACAGAATTCGACGTTTTGTTTATTATAATTATTTTCGAAAGATCGGTACAAGATTCATACTAATCGATAGCAACATTGATAATTATGTCAATGTAATACTCGTAATATTATATTGGTCATAGTTTAAGAGAGAATGTCAATCATTCCGTTCAAATTCACTCGTCAATATTATTGTAACAAATGGATGCAAATAAAGTACCTCGTGCTACAAACCATGCACTAATAATATTAATTTTATCAACGTGTTGCGTGTATACGGTAAGTATATCCCGTCTGACCGCGGCGCACGCTACTGTGTCGGTCTGGTCACAGACTGTCGTCCACTACTTCCTCCGTTGCGTCGCGGCTGACATATCATCGACTTTACTACTTGCAGGAAACGTGCAGCTGACTATTCGCGCATTGTGAAAGCTGCTATTCCAGAAATATTTCATTCACGCGAAAACCATAGAAGATTGTTTCTCACTTAACTCTGACACGAGCTGTCGATGTCCATCACTGACTTCAAATTCTCCACACGGGGGGTGTATATAATATTCGTGTAAATGAATAAAAGAAGACAGAGAAGCACAGACTCTATATCAACGAATTTAAGAAAACCCATTTCGAAGAAAAATAGAAATTGAAGAGTGTAAATAATAAATTGAAAACGTCTAGAAAGCTAATGGATTCGCGAGAAGTACCATTGAAATAATTTTCTCATTCGACACAGAGTTGGAAGAGCAACTTTCAGTAGCATTAACAATGTATACGCACGTAACATCTGCTCTTTCTAACTATGCTTGGAAAGTTTTTCTATTATAAACAGACATTTGAATTCGCACAATGAAATATAACACACAGTACGCAATTGAAGATTACTCTAGTTGAGGTTACTTTGGCTTCGTTAAACCAGGACATGATATTTCTGTAAATGAATCGAAGAAAATGGAGAAACACAGACTCTATATCAACGAATTGAAGAAAACCGATTTCGAAGAAAAATAGAAACTGAAATTGAAGAGTGCGAATAATAAATTGAAAAGGTCTAGGAAGCTAGAATACATACTTCTTGTAGGCAAAGATTTGGTACAGTATGTAACAGTTTGACCAAGCAATTCGAGTGGACTCGAACACATTCCATCTAGGGAATACTATTTCTGGCAAACAAAAGACTATACAATGCAGGTTTGACGATGTATGCCCAAGTTTGACCAAACAGTCCAGGTACATTGAAGTACATTTCTCTAAAAGCCTATCCTTCCCCATTTGACGATGCATACCCAAGTTTGACCAAGCAGTACAGGTACGCTCCGAACATTTCCAGGGAAACCGTCGCGTCGCGATTCGGTGTCGATAAGCGTGAGACACGCGGAATACGCAATGGGAACGTTTCGCGAGGTGGCAACTGTTATTTACAAAATCCATCATTCCTATGACTGTTTACGTTTGGCGGGCACGTAATGGCTGGCCAACGTACGAGGCGAGTCTCTTTCCCAGTTGTCAACACACGGGCACACGGATCCCGGTGCCAAGACGGCATTCTTTCCCCTCATGGCAGGTTTGCTCGCCGATGCTCACTTTCGTCATCGAAACTTGATTCTGATTCCCAGCGATTTCTTAGCATTCACCTCGCCGTCCGCGACTGGAGACCCTCGCTTGCCAGTCACGGTTTCTTGCTGGCCGACGAGTGTGTGAGATCTGTGGATTGGGCATGTCAGGATGCAGTAAATGGCACTATCGCCGTTTCACAAGTTCGCCTCTTTGCCGCGGATTAATTGAGGTCACGGCAGGCAAATAATGCGGCGTCTGAGTGGAAACGTTAGATACGACGAACGTGAGCGTCATCGAGAAGAAGCGCTCGACGTTCGGTAGGAAAATAAATATTTGCCAGAGAAGAAACCGATCTCGCGTGTCACTGGACGATGGTGACCTCGGTGTTTGGGTCTTTGCACCGCGCAAGTGAACGAAATCGCATCGCAATTAGGGTCGTTCACTTTTAGAAGGTGTTCAATTTTCTTGGTAAAATTTTCGGAGTAGACGAGAACTGTTTTCAGTATTTTTTTTGTTATTTAATGACACAAGCTATTGGAAAACGACCAAGCATTCTTTGGTTGTCTGTAAAGTCTATATCGATTTTTGGTAGGTGGTACAGGTCTAAATATATCGGAATGGATCAAAACAACCATTGTACCTATGTAATTCAATAAATATACAGTCAGTCCCATAGATATTCGTACCCTATATATCTATTGAAGAAATTTCCTTAAATTAAATGGCAGGTTCGATGTTCGATGTATATATAAATATATGCATGTATAAGCTTATTCATACATATATTTGTAATGAAAAATTCGTTTCGTAATACCAAACTATTATTTAATTTAGTCAAACTTAGACATATAGTTGAACGCTAGAGTAGAGGGTACGAATACTTACAGGATTGGCTCTATATATCAAAATTTAGATGTGCATTTGAGTTGTTCTTAAAAATTGGCACGAACTTTCTGGACAACCCAATAGTAAATCTCAGAAGTTCACGTCTCTCATCGTTTCGCTATTTAGACTAATGTGTGAAATACACCATTAAGCGTTACGAAATAATGTAATCGCCCAACTGTAAAGATGTAATTTTGTATTAAAAATAAACCCAATTTACGACACGAGCATACATATCCCATGACCTAATGCTTCGATAACGTCGAATATTTCGAAACCCTCGTCAACCTTGACACTGCTTGCTGACACCATCGCGATTACATGACATCATTGTCAATAAAACTCGATGTTTACATTCTTCGTAAATATTTCTGACCCTCCTTCGTCTATTTCGCCAAGCTTTAAAAAAAAAAAAATGACAGCCTACTCGATGTTTCTTAGAACATTGCAAGACTTTCAATCACCGCACTTTCGCAGAACACCTCGAGAGTCCTTGAGTTTCGCTCCTTGACTCTAGACACCTTGAAATGATTCGGATCCCGTAGTTAGTTACAGGTCTGGGAACCTTCCATCGTAACTTTGAAATTATTCACTCGTCGTAATTGCAGCTGTCTATTTTTCCCGCGTCCGTGTGTAATTACCAATAGATAACTGGCTTCGAACGCGAGTAAACAAGTGTAAGGGACGGCCCATCGAGATCTCGCGGCGATCAACGGCCGTTTAATAGCGGTGACGTGCGACGTCCAGGTTAACTTGAAACGGTCAGTATGTTTATGGGAGGACATGCAACATTGAGCAATGACCGTGTCCGATGTGTGTCCATGCGTGTCACGCCGATTTCCACGACGCTGTGTGTCCGCTTATTACATTCTTGGATAACTAGTTTAGTGGCAACAGGCAAGTTCACTACCCCACTTTTACCTCTCTCCATATCGCTGCCCCGTTACTCAAGGCCAGCGTACCCAAGAAAATAACGCATCAAACAAAAAGTTCGACCGGTTGCACGCACGGGGCCCGGTTTCCGTTTTCCCGTCACATATTCGTATTCCACACGCGCAAACTGGACGTGCCATCGTAAATCACTTGTGCAAGATGAAGGACTACATTTAATTGTCCCCCAGAACCAGAAAACAGTTCTTCGTTGGTCTTCTTTAAGGGGGACGCTCTATCTTTCACGAATTTCGAAGCAACTTTCGTGACTTTTTTGTGTGGATATGGTATTTCACGTAAACTTTTGAAATTCGGTACGTTTATTTGTACATATATATTCGAGATTCTCTAAAATTTGCAACTGCCTGAATGAACTTGGTTATAGAATAAACAAATTTCGTTTATCCGGCATAAACGAAAACACTCTTAACTTAGTTCAATTTTCGAGGCACAACAGGAATAACATTCAGAAGAACAGCGTCAACAACTTGCTCACGCGCTTCGACTTGTATATATTTCTCATTTCGCTTATTATACTTTCAGCGTTAGTTCGTAGTATTGCCGCATGAATGGAAAACTTTAAATAAAATAGCAAAGCTAAGTGGAAGTGTTTATTGGATTTTGTAATTTGTTTCGTGTAATTTGGTAGAGAGTTAAGCAACAAGAATATTAACAACAAAAACATCTATTTTTATCCCGGAAGAGTATCCTCTTAACCCTGATCGACTCTAAAGTTTCACACCCCATTGTTTACATTTTTGATCTTTGATTTAATTCTGTTATCGATATGTACCAACTGGATGCTTTCGCCAGAGATTAGTATCTTCTAGTATCGAGTTTCTCGAAGTTCTCTTTGCTAAGGCACGCACAAAATAATCACCGATTCGGTAATTCGTCTGTCGGTTAGGTGAGTGGGATGACGTCGAAGAATGTGAAAGTACGTTAATCGTTTGGAGGTGCCATAACGTGTCACCAATGACGTATTTACGCACTGTCGATAATCATGCCAACAGTGACGCCTCCACGTGTTTCTGTGACGGTTAATTTGGAGAATGGCACTTGGTAAGTGATTCTCGTTATGGCTGCCAAGTAAAAATAAACGTGGACTTCGACTCTCGACTTTTAATTGCAGTACGACACCATTCCAACAATTTTTGGGAAATAAAAATCTCTGTGTATTCGAGGTAAAAGTTGGCCATCGTCAAGGGTGGTGAAACGATTATGAAAGTCCCCCCACCCCTGGGAAGAGGTATATCACGTGCGTAACGGTTAACTCGCATAACTCCGAAGTCGATGGTAATGAAACCCTCGTTCCATACGTCGGAACTTTCGTGAATTCTTTTAATAAAATTCCTGTCATTTCCAAATAGGAAACCTTGATGCAAATGAACGCTATTTCAGACGTATTCACATACGAAACGGATTCCAGATAAACCCCTATACGATTCTAAGAGCCTCGATGACGATTTAGATCCGTTACAAAATTTTTACATTTTACATCGCTTTTAGGAATCATG